TTTGTTTTTTTATATGTTTACCTATTGGTATGAACTGCCCCCTGAGGATACCTTAGCTGTGAAACAGAGGTTTTGGTATGTTGAATTTTCATTATCATCTGTTTCCAGGAACATTGAAATTTTATTCTTTTTTTCTTCTATAACATAACTCAACTGTGTTCTGGTTTAATCCTTTCTCCATCTATCACGATGTTGCTTATGGATCCAGTCTTGAGGAGTTTGTTTCCTTGATGTTGAGATGCAATGCATGGTCAAGAAAAGCATGGTCATGTCATCTACATAAAAGAATTTATTGTTGAGTCTTCTTTCAATTCTGATGCTGTATTCTTCTTTAAATAGTCCATCTTCTTGAATGATATTCTCGGCATACAGAGCATACAGGTATGGTGAAAGGATGCCACCCTGATGCAAATCTTTACTGATTTTAAACCATGAAGTGTTCCCTTCCTCTGTTCAAATAACAGCTTCTTGGTCTATTAATAGTTTTTATATATGCATAATTAGGTGTTCTGGAATTCCTATTTTTCTCAATGTTAGCCATAATTTGTTATGATTCACATAATCCAATGCCTTTGTATACTCATAAACATAAATAGATATTCTTCTGGTATTTTTCCATTGGAATTTGAGGACCATCTCAGGATCAGGTTTGAAGCTTTGAACAAAATGAGTGAAGACCAGATAAGCTGTGGGAGGATATCAAGAATATCATTCATGAAGAATGCAAAAAGTCATTACAAAGACAGAGGAGAAAAAAAGGCCAAGGCGGATGTAAAAGAGACTCTAATTGTTGTACTAGAGTGTCAAGAAGACAAAACAAAGAAAGCAAGAAGAGCTAAATAGGAGATTTCAAAGGGAAGCAGAGGAAGACAAAGCAAAGTACTATGATAAAATGTGCGAAGAGTTGGAGTTAGAAAATCAAAAGAGATGAACTCGTTCAATGTTTCTAAAGCTGAAGAAACTGAAGAACAAGTTTAAGCCTCGAGTTGCAATAGTTAAGAATGCTGGAGGCAGAATGTTGAATGACTCAGGAAATACCAAAACAAAATGGAAGGAGTACACCGAGGCACTATACAAAAAAGAATTGGCTACCACTAAAGAATTTAATGAAACAACATATGATCAAGAGACAGTGATGAAGGAGGAAGCTCAAGCTTCTCTGAAGGAATTGGCGAGAAAGAAGTCCCCAAGAATTGATGGAATACCAATTGACATATTTCAGCAAACAGTTGCTGCCCTGGACATACTCACCAGATTATGGCAAGAAATCTGGAAAACAACTACCTGGTCAACTGACTGGAAGAGATAAGTATTCGCTCTCATTAAAAAAAAAAAAAGGGTAGATCAACAGAGTGGAAATTATAGAAGAATATCACTAACATCACACAATAGCAAGATCTTGCTGAAGATTATACAAAAACTACTGGAACAGTACATCAGCAGAGTACTGCCAGATGTCAATGCCAGGTTGAGGAGAGGCTGTGGCACTAGGGACGTCATTGCCGCCATTGGATAGATCTTGGCCAAATGCAGAGAGTACCAAAGGAAAGTCTATCTGTGTTTTTTGTTGACAATGTGAAGGCATTTGACTGTTGATCACAACAAATTACGTCTAACCTTGAAAAGAATGGGGATATGAGAACACTTAATTGTGCTCATGTGAAACCTATACTTGGACAAGGAAGCGGTATTTAGAACAGAGCAGGGAAACACTGCATAGTTCAGGATCAGGAAAGGTATGCATCTTGTCTGCATACCTTTTCAAATTATGTGCAGAACTGATTATTTGGGAGGCTGGATTTTATGAAGAGGAATGTGGCATCCAGATTGGAGGAAGATTCGACAACAATTTATGTTATGCAGATGACACAAACGTACTTGCTGAGGAGGACATGAGGCATTTGCTGCAGAAGGTTAAGGACTGCAGTCTTCAATATGGATTGAAGCTCAACATCAAGAAAACAAAGATTCTCACAACTGGGCCAATTGGCAGCTTCACAACAGATGGAGAAGAGATTGAGATTGTTAATACTGTCAGCTTGCTTGGTTACACAACTGACACTCTTGGCACCAGCAGTCAGGAAATAAAAAACAAATTGAACTGGGAAAGTCTGCTGTCAGAGACGAGCAATGATATCAATCTGTAGAGTGAGGTGCACCTGATCCAAGCCATAGTCTGCAGTTATTTGCTATGCATCCAAGAGCTGGACAGTAACTAAAAATTATAAAAGAAGAATAAATGCCTTTGAATTGTGGTGTTGGAGAAGAGTGTTGGACATACCATGGACTGCCAGGAGAACAAACAGGTCTGTCCTAGAGGAGGTGAAACCAGGCTGCTCCCTGGAGGCAAATATTTTTAAGCTCTATCACACATACTTTGAGCACATAGTCAACAGGGACCAGTCCTTGGAGAAAGAAGTCATGTTTGGATGTGTAGAGGGACAGTTCATGAGAGGAAGACCCATAGTAAGATGGATTGACTCAGTGAACGGAAAAATGGGATTATGTCTGTTGGAGAAGATGAGATGGCTCAGGAAAGGCAGGTTTCAGAGCTAATGTACACACGGTCAATAAGAGTTACAGGTGACTCAATGGCATTCAACACCACCATCACCACCAGGATCCATGTGATATAAGCAATGATTTCCCTGGTGCAATGGTCTCTTCCAAACCCAGATTGACCTCAGAGCAGTTCAAATGTCTGTTTAAATAGGCTGATATTTTTAAATTACATTGATAAGTACATTTTTGTATTGTTATTCTTGTTTTATGCCATTGAGCCAATTGCAACCCTATGAACAATGGATAAGAACACTGCTATATCTTGTGCCATCTTGACCCTCTCTGACACACTTGTGCCCATTGCTACAGACACTGTGTCAATTCATTATTGAGAGCCTCGTCTTTTACACTAACCTTCCACTTTTCCAAATGTGATGTCCTTTTCCAGGGACTGGCCTCTCCTAACCACTTGCCCAAAGTATGTGAAGCAAAATTTCATCATCCTTGCTTATAAGAAGGACTCTGGTTTCATTTTCTACAGTATAGACTTCGTACTTTGTCAGTTCGTGAGATATTCAGTACTTTTCTCCAACATAACAACTCAAAGGTATCGATTCTTTTGTCATCCTTAATCATTACCCAACTTTGAGATGCATAGCAAGTAATTGAGATGTGCACATTTAGCTGCACATTTTAGATATTGTTGTACATTCAGTCTTCCAGCACTTGGGCACTTGATAATTGTAACACTCACATGATTACAAAAGGAGACAAACCTTCCAATGGCAGCTATGAGGCTATACATGTAGAAATTTGTAAATGGCAGTGTAAGCTTAGAACATTTGTCTTCGAGCTGTTAAGTTCTTATAACTCCAGTTTATTTGGTCTGTTACTGCTAGATGCAGTAAATTCTACCCAAGCATAATAACTTTAATATAACAAGTGAAACTCTGCTTGGTTATGCACAGCCCTCACAATCAAAGTGCTTTTCTATGCACAAAGCACTTCATTATGTATTCTGTATATTTGTGTTCCATGGGTGCACTATCATTATGGATCTTTTACATACCCATTTGACAGACGAAGTAATTGAAGAAAAAAGGCTAATTAAATGACTTGTTCATGATCAAGCCTACACAAGATTTGTACCCAGATGACCTTCAGTCATAAGCCTGTTTACTTTTATACCTCTAAAGGATGAAGGTCTTGTTTAAAGTTATTAAAAACATTAGACAAGCAAAATCTGAACCTGTGTTTATTATGTGTTGTCAAGTCAAATGTGACTCATAGCGACCCTATGAATGAAGTCTGCCCTGTCTTGAACCAGTCTCATACACTCTGACACACCTACCTCACTGCCCCAGTTACTGTATCAATCCATCTCATCCAGGGTCTTCCTCTCCTGTGCTGTCTCTCCACCTTTCTGAGCATGTCTTTCTCCAAGGACTGATCTCTCCTGGCCACTTGCCCAAAGTATGTGAGACAGAGCTTCAAAATTTTACCTCCAAGGAGAAATTTGTTTTTACCCTCTCCAAGACAGATTTATTTGTTTCTTTGGTAGTTTAAGGTATGTGCCACAACTCAAAGGCATCGATTCTTCTTCTGTCATCTTTAGTCATTGTCCAGCTTTCTGATACATCAGGCACACCTTAGTCTCTAGACTGACATTGTTGCTTCTCAGTACTTTAGAGGGATCCTCGACAGCAGATTTTTCCAGTGCAATTCATCTTTGGAATTCCTGACTGTCAAGCGTATTGATTGTGTAGCCAAGCAAGCTGCAACTGTTAACAACTTTAACCTCTTCTCCATCTATCATGGTGCTGACATTTGGCCTGGTGGTGAGAATCTTTGTCTTCTTGATGTGGAGCTTCAATCCATAATGTAGACAACAGTCCTTGACCTTCTGTGATAAGCACTTCAGGTCCTCCTTAGTTTCAGCCAGTAGATTGTATCTGCATAACGTATGTAATTGCTAAGTCTTCCTCCAGTCTTGCTGCCATATTCCTCATAAAGCCCACCTTCCTGAATGATCTGTTTTGCATATAAATGGAAAAGATGTGGACACAGGATGCATCCCTAATGCACTCCTTTTCTGATTTTGAACCACGCAGTGTTTCTTTGCTCTGTTCTGAAGACTGCTTCCTGGTTCAAGTATAGGTTTCACATAAGCACAAGTAAATGCTCTGGGATACCCATTCTCTGCAAGGTTAGCCACAATTAGTTAGGAGTCACACAGTCGAATGCTTTTCTATATTCAATGAAACACAGATAAATATTCCTTGGGTACTCTCTGCATCCTGCCAAGATCCATCTGACATTGGCAATAATGTGTTTAGTGCCACGACCTCTTCTAAACACAGCTTGTATTTCTGGTAGTTCTGTCAATGTACTGTTTTTGTTGTTTCTGGATCATCTTCAGAAGGATTTTGCTTGTTTGTGATATTAATGATTTTTTAAATAATTTTCACACATTTTGGGTCACCTTTATTTAACAAAAAATGAGAATAGGCCCCGCTCTCGCCTCGCGCAGGCACCAGCGGACAACGGGAGCCCTGCGGAGCCGCCCCCGCCTCGAGACCGCCGCACACCACCCGGCCCGAACCGCCCCACTGCCCGCATGGAGCGCACCACCGAGCCCGAGCTGGCTGGGATGCCGAGAGGCGGAGGGCGCATGGTCACCAGCCCGCAGCACGGATTCGGATTCGGGCGAACAGAGCGAGGGCAAGCCCGTGACTGCCGCAGGTCCCGATGTCTTCAGTTCAAAGAGCCTTGCTCTTCAAGCCCAGAAGAAGATTCTGAGCAAAATAGCCAGCAAAACAGTGGCCAACATGTTGATTGACGACACTAGCAGTGAGACCTTTGATGAGCTCTACAAGGTCACCAAAGAGCACACCAACAACAAGAAGGAAGCCCACAAGATCATGAAGGACATTATCAAGGTGGCCATCAAGATTGGGATCCTCTACCAAAACAACCAGTTCAACCAGGAGGAGGTGGCCATTGTGGAGAAGTTCAGGAAGAAGCTGAACCAGATAGCCATGACCATCGTCAGCTTCTACGAGGTGGAATATGCCTTCAATAAGAACGTGCTCTCCAAGCTTCTGCACGAGTGCAAGGACCTGGTACATGAACTGGTGCAGCGACACCTGACGCCCAGGACCCACGGGCACATCAACCACGTGTTCAACCACTTTGCCGACGTGGACTTCCTCTCCACCCTGTATAGTCTGGAGGGAGACTGTCGGCCAAGCCTCAAGCGGATTTGTGAGGGCATCAATAAATTGATAGACGAGAAGGTCCATTGAATGACCTCCCTCCTTTGGACTTTGCTGCTTTAAAGTTACAGCGTCTGCTGTGCTCCAGGTGAGAATCAAGCAAAAGAGAAACCTAGGTGGAATATGTCGCTGTTGTGTCCTTGTCATCCCTCCACCTGAGCTCTGAGGTGTTTGTCCCCTGGGCTCCCTGATGAGATCTATACTTCAGCTCCCCTCCGTTTGCAAATTCTGAACTAATCATCTAGTCTAAGCTGAAAGGCTGCTCCGCTCCTTAAGGTGAGTCAGTTCCCCAACTCATTGTGTGGAGTGGAAGGAACCCTGGATTAGGCGTGGAGACCCCCACAAGTTACGGTCTGTCCCTGAATCCTGGTACAAGGACGCCTGCCCTGCCTACCTCACAGGGCTATTGTGAGGATCAGTTGAGATTGTGTGTGTTCATGTTTTTGGAAGCACTAAGGCAAGGGCTTATTATTTCTCAGTATGAGAGGGCTCAACCTGGATCTAATCTGTTCAGCAGCCAAGAAGAAAGAGAACAAACAATAGAAGCAAATGGGCTGGGTTTGCAGCATCTCTAAATGTGCTGTTTCAAACAAAATAAAAACGAATCATCCAAAAGTGAGAAAAAGTTGCACACAGGGAAGAATGTTTTTAAGAACCCTGTCTTAGATGTGCAGGCTTATGATCCCACAGAGGGTAACTTTACACGGGGGGCATGAGGGAGTGGGAGAGGATTTTCCACCTGTAACAGAGCCAAAAGGCACCGACCCCCCTCATCCCCTCTTCAGAGCCCCCATCCAGGAGGCAAAAGGAGAATGTATGCTGGTATATGCATAGGAGAATTGGGCAGATGAACCCCTCGCCATCTTTCTTGGACTTGCTTGGTTGTTGTGTGCTGTTTTTCTCTGGTTCATTAATAAAATTGAAATCACCCTTCAAAAAAAAAATGAGAATAAATATGGATCTCTTTTAGTCAGTAGCCTAGGTAGCTGTCCTCCAGATTTCTTGATACAACCTGGTGGGCACTTCCAGGTCAGTATCTGCTTGTTGAAATATGTCAATTGGTATTCCATCAATTCCTGGGGCTTGTTTTTGCCAAGTCCTTCAGAACAGCCTGAACTTCCTCCTTCATCACCACTGCCTCTTGATCTTATGTTGTTTCTTGAAATTATTCTGTATCAGTCAATTGTTTTTATTACAGTGACTATATACTCTTTCAATCTTCTTTTAATGCTTCCTGGATCATTCAATATTCTGCCCATAACATCTTTATTATTGCAACTTACATCTTGAATTTGTTCTTTAGTTTCTTCAGCTTAAGCATGAGTTCAGCCCCTTTGATTTTCCCTCTCTGGCCCCTTGCACGTTTCATTGTAATACTTTGCTTTGTCTTTCTGAGCTGCTCTTTGAAATCTGTTTAGCTCATTGACTTCTTGATTTCTTCCCTTTGCTTTGGCTTCACAGTGCTCTACTGCCGTATTCAGAGTCTCTTCTGACCTCTGTTTTGGTCTTTTCTTCATCTTTGTAATGACCTTTTGTATTCTTTATGGATGATATTCTTGATACCTTTCCACAGCTCATCTGATCTTCATTCAGTAGGGTTCAAGGCCTCAAACCTTTTTCTGTGTTGGTTTTTAAATTCAAAGGGCATAGACTCAAGATCAAATTTTGATTGCTGTAGATAATATGATTTGATCTTCTTTAGCTTTAATTTGAACTTGCATATGAGTAGTAATTGATGGTCCATTCTGCTATTCACACCTGCTGATATTGAACTTTTCCAAAGATTCCTTCCACAGATGTAACAGATCTGATTCCTGTGCATACAATCAGGTGAAATTCATGTGTGTAGCCTGTGTTTATGTTTCTTGTAAAAGGTATTTGCATTGAATAAATCACTGATTGTGAAGAATTCTATCATTCTATCCCCAGCCACACTTCTGTCACCAAGTCCATGTTTTCTAACAACTGATCCTTCTTTCTGGTTCCCAACTTTCACATTCCAGTCACTCATTATTAATGCATCTTTGTTGCATGTTTGATCAATTTCTGACTGCAAAAGTTGGTAGAAATCTTCATTTTCCTCCTTTTTGGCTCTGGCTGTTGGGGCATAAATTTGAAAGATAGTATTAACAGGTCTTCCTTATATGAACATGGATATTACCTTTAGTCTGCTTGGCTCCACCAGTAGCCAGGAAATAAAAAAAATGTATTGCGATGGGAAAGTCTGCTGTTAGGGACCTCTCCAGGGTACTGAAGAGCAATGGTATCTCTCTGGAGACTAAGGTGCATCTGATACAGGCTATGGTCTTTGCAATCACTTGTTATGCATCAGAGAGTTGGACAATGACTAAGGAGGATAGAAGGAGAATTGGTGCCTTTGAGCTGTGGTGCTGGAGAAGAATATTGAATGTACCCTGGACTTCCAAGTAAACAAACAGATTCATCCTAGAGAGGGTTACACCGGCCTACTCCTTGGAGCCAAGTTTTCTGAGGCTTCATCTGACATACTTTGGACATGTTGTAAGGAGGGAGAGGTCCTTGGAGAGGGACATCATGCTTGGGAGAGTGGAGGGACGGTGCAGAAGGGAAGACCCTCTATGAGATGGATTGATTCAGTGACTGGGGTAATCAGGATGGGTGTGTCAGAGGTAGTGAGATTGGCACAGGATAGAGCAGGGTTTAGGGCTGTTGTACATAGGGTCGCTATGAGTCACAAGTGACTCAATGGCACACAACAACATTATATCTGGAGAAAGAACCATGCAAACTTTAGGTCCTTTTTACTACGAGAGGCCCAGGACAACCAAATTTTACCTTATCTGTGAGCTTGTTAGAAATACATATTCTTGGGCCCCATTTGAACATCTGGTTTTTGTTAGTCACCATTGAGTATGACTCATAGAGACACTATGAACAATAGATATGAAATATGTTCTATCCTGTGCCATCCTTGCAATCTCTGACCTCCTCAAGCCCATTGCTATAGTCACAGTGTCAGTCCACTTGATTGAGAAACACTCTCTCTCTCACAGTCCTTCCATTTTTTCAAGCATGATGTCCCTCTCCAAGGAACAACCTCTTTTAACAACATGCCCAAAGTATGTGAGATGAAGCTTTGCCTCTAAGGAGCATTTTGGCTGCACCTTTTCCAAGACATATCTATGTGTTCTTTTGGCAATCCATGGCATATTCAGTACTCTTCTCCAACACCATAATTTAAAGGCATCAATTTTTCTTCTGTCATCTTATTAATTTCCACCCCTCAGAAGCATAGCAAGTGATTGAAGAGACCATGACCTAAACCATATGCACCTTAGTACTCAAAGTAACATCACTGCTCTTCAATAATTTGGAGAGGTCCCTGACTGCAGATTTCCAGGTGCAATACATCTCCTGACTGTAGGTTCCAAGTGTACTGATTGTGGATTTAAGTGAGATGAGGTCATTGACAGTTTCAATCTTTTTTTCCATCTGCCATGATGCCTTTTAACAAAGTCCCAGGTGATTGGCATGAGTATTAAAGTCTCAGAAACATTTTTTTAGACCAAAATTAGAGGATAAATTCAAATGCATGGATCCGGACAAGGATTTGTGATTGCATACGTTTTAATGAGAAAAAATTAATTTTAAGGGTATCCTGAGTATTTTTTTCCCCAGTGAATTAACAAGACTATAAGCATTTCATTCCAATTATCAAAGAAATATGTACTAGATCATGGTAGGGAAGTGGGGACTTATGATGAAAGAGGAGAAAGTTCACTGTAAACAGAATTCACTAACCAAACCATTTATCAATTTGTTATACCGTCCTGGTTTGTGATGGCCTAGTATGTAATGTATCAAGATTTTGGTAGTTTGAATCCACCAGCTGTTCCACAGGAGAAAGATAGGTAGTCTCCTTCTTTAAGTATTTATAGTCTTGAAGTGTCATTTCATGTCAGATCTGATTCAACCATAATGGATAATGATGGTGGAAGATGTGCCATCAGTTTTTCAAAGACCAGCAGGGTCGCACATGGTAGACAAGAGTCAGTGGAGTTTCCAGACTAAGACTAAGAGGAAAGACCTGATGTTCCACTTCTGAAAATTCTGCTCAACGCCTTGCAGTCGAGTTGGGATCAACTTATAGCTGACCTTGCTTTCAGTTTCTGAGGCTGTAGTAAATCAGGAGAGATTGCCTATCTTTTGTCATTAAAGCCAATGGTGGATCTGAATCATCAGAAAGGCCTGGTTTAGCTGTCTAACGCTCCGTAGACTATGCTGCCAGAACTCTCTCATGAAAACAGGACATTCTCTGATCCAGTGCTAGAAGATGGGTCTTCTTGGTGGAGAGGTACTTAACATCACAAACACACTCAAGAATGCCAATGATCTTGAAGACGATGCAGCAAAGGGTAAAGGTTTTTCTGTTGTACATGAAATTTCCATGAAGTAGAGCCAACTTATTTACAATTATGCAATATCACAAGCATACAAAAACATGTGTGCATTTAAAGGTATCAGATCATTTAAGTCAGTCTACTGTTGGCCAATTGTATTTTAATTAGCCACTGTGAACTTGAATGAAACATAAAAAACTTAGCTCAAGTCGGAATGAATTCATAGCTGACCTTCCACTGCACTTTGAAGCTATAAATTGCATGGGAGGAGATTTCTTGGCTTTCTCTCTGGAATCCCTGGTGGATTCAGATTGGCAGAGAGGCAAGACCTTTGGGTTAGCTGCTCTACTCTCTCCAGACGATGTCACCAAAGCTCCAGCTTTGAAAGTAGAATTTATTTTTTTAAATATGCATTATGAATAAAGCAAACACAATTTTATGGACTTCTCATATTAAACCAATTCAGGAGATCACAGAGGATGGTTAGTTCCCCTTTAGCATGCTGAGAAGGCGGGGGAAAGAGGTATCCTGTACCGACTTCACAGGTAAGGAAACCAGAGGAGGGTCAGATGATGGTTCTCTTACATCTCCTGAATCTCAGCAAGGGGCTAGGTAAACTTTGTTGCCATCACTGTTTGGAACGTCTACCCT